ACAACTGAAGCACATTTAGGTTAAGATGTATTTATTTCTTTAATATACACATATCAGTAAAATAGAAATAAATCTTTATTTATCTATATACATCTGCAGAAGAATACACGTTAATTATAATAAAAATAACAATGCACATACTTACTTTTCTATTTACTTCTTAATATTTATTTCTTAAAAGACATAAGTATGTACGCAACGTTTCTCTGCATCCGCTAATCCAATCCGTCCCTCACGGACACGATTTAGTAATCCGATTAGCCTAGGGAACTTTCTGTCTAGACAATTTACATCACTGCGATTATATCAATCCGATTGTAAATCCGATTGCTGCACGTAAACACCCATTGGCTGTTTACGATAATTCGAGTTGGATTAAGTACGAGTTAGTTTCACTAGGGCCGAGAAATATGATAGGCACAAGCATCTAGTATTTTCAAGATTTATGACAACTCAATGCTGTCCGATAAATCGAGTAGAGTAGAGTAGAGTTAGGGTAGTATAGCGGATAGTATATGTATAAGAATTAACAGTATCAGATAACATAGTTTCGTAAAATATGTAACAATAATATTACAAAACAATTATTTATTATATTTTAGAAAAATTAGAAGCACTAAATTAAATTATGAAAATGATATTAATTTAATGTATTTGTGAAATATTCAATAATAATAGGTTAGAATAATTGTTTTCTACTTTTGGATATTTCACAAATACATGATACCTTTTCATAATTTAATTTAGTGCTTCTAATTTTTCTAAAATGCAACAACTCATTGTTTAGTAATATTATTGTTATATATTTTACGAAACTATGTTACCTGATACTGTTAATTTTTATACATATACTATCCACTATGTTACCCTAACTCTACTCTACTCTACTCTACTCGATTTATCGGACAGCATTGAGTTGTCATGAATCATGAAAATACTAGATGCTTGTGACTATCATATTTTTCAGCCCTAGTGAAACTAATTCGTACTAACTCCAACTCGAATTATCGTAAACACCCATTGGCTTCAGGCTTTCCATGGAAATTCGCCCCAACCTCGGTACAACTGTTAATATATTTAACTAATTGGAAATCGATTTCCTCTATAAAAAATCGATTCGTATAAAAATCGAAACTACAATAATCCATTAAAATAATCGATTTTTGCTCGAAGAAAATCGATTTTCTTAAAAATCGATTCAGAATCGCCCATCCTTAATCACTATTATCTTCAGGCGAATTTAAGTTCATGCCTAACATCTGGTGGGTCCTGAATTACACACACACATATATCACTAGCATAGCACTAACGCTTTCCACCGCTTCTACGTTAGAGAACTTCAATATGCGGTTATCCTGCTCTCCTTTACTTATATTTTGGTTAATACGGAATTTTTATAATATAATTTGCTTTTTTCCGAAATTTTTAAGTATGTTTTTAATGAGATAGTGTTCCTACGAATATTTTACTCCGTGAAAGTAACTTACTTTGTTAGTAACAATCGCATAACTTTTATATGAAGTACACGTTGTTTTAGAAAAACAGTTCTAGATGTCATGTTTTTTCGCCTTCAATGTAAAATTTGTTCGTTTTCAACGTATATAAAATATTTATCTTCACATAACTTTAAAAAGTGTGTATATTAATCGTGATAAACAATTTATTAATTTATCTAACCGAAACAACATTATATGTCATAAATTCTTCCAATAGATAGTTCCATACCTATGTAAGAATTAAAACAAGGAATATTACATAGCTTAAAGCAGCAACAAATAAAAGAATATAAGCAAAAGTGCCATAAATTACTGAATTTTTTCATAAATTTCAAGCAGTGCAAGGAAAACACAAAGAATAAGTCTTTAGAATCTATGAAATAAAGTAAAACATTAATTACCTGATGATAAATTTTTCATACCTAATTATATATAATTATATAAAATTACATATAATTTAATAAAAATATATAAAAATACATATAATGCATCATGCAATTATATATGTTTCTAAAACTTTATACATAATTTTATATGATGTTGCCTGATGTCACCTGGATATAATTATACATGAAGATATACACCTATATAAAATTGTATAAATATATACTAACATATGCATACTTATGCATAATGAGATATAATAATATATAATTACACAGAATGTGCGATTTGCGAATGACTTGTTACTTTGTATAATTATGTATACTAATGTATAAGTATGCAGAAGTATATATAATTATATGTAAATATATAGAATCATGTATATGTACATATAATCAAAGTATAAGGCGATGTAGACACGAACAGCGTCGCGTTGCCGTGCGACAATGGTCATCTTCAGAAGTAAACCATTTTTCTTTACACGGAGTTTGGTCTATCGATTCACGTGCGCTTATTATCTCACAGAGAATAATTCATTCCTCGTCAACTATTGCAAATTTTGCAAAATAGTACATGACTTTTCTATTCAATTTAATCTGTTCTATCTTTACACGAGCGATTGTATGAAATATAACAGTATTTGTATAAGTACAAGTCAGCAAGATATCGTATGAGACATTGGTCGCGTTCAGTAGAACAAGTGATCAGTAAGCGCTCAGTGAGCTCTTGCATCTGGGTATAGTTGATTGGAGTATAGTTGGAGATCTAAAAGAATATGCCAAATCATATACAAGAGCTCCCTGAGCGCTTACTGATCACTTGTTCTACTGAACGCGGCCATTAGAATCATTATTAACTCTCTTACTGTCAAAGTGATCCAGTAGCTATCAAGACTAGGACTAGGACTACCAAGCAAAACAGGTGAAGTAGTTTGAGTTCGAAACTACGGAGGGATATATAAAGTAATTTTTTTTCTCTATGTGTATTGAGAAACTCTCAGTAAGTCCTTCTTTAAGTTTTAACATAGAAGAAACGAAAAAAGTTACTATTTATAGCATCAAAAGGCATTTGTATTATCGAAAATTATGCATAATTATATATAATTTTATCTATTTAGATATAATTATGTATAATTATATATGGACAAATTTCATATATAATTTTG